GTTAATTATTACATTTCACATTGTAATGAATTATTAACTGCAAAAATAAACAATAAAAGTCTAAAAATTATTAAATTATCGAACACTTTGATTTTTATGGAATCGGTAAATAATTCTCAATTATTTACTCTTATAAAATTTATTCTATATTCAATATTGTTAATCTATATTATATTTACAAATTTTTTATTCGTTTTACTTTTCACTTATTATTTTTCTATCATTTCATTTATTTATTCATTCCTTGGTAACGTAATGTAAATAAATTAGTAAAATAAATTAACACAACTTTTAATAAATTATTTTTATTATATTTCTTATTTTATATGGGTCTCGACGCGTAGTCACCTCCTCGCGGTGAGACCTGGTAATTGGTATCGATTTTCATAGATTAATCTTCGAAAAATGTTATCATCTCTGAACATTTTGCGAATATTAATTTTAATAAAAATCGATACCAAGCTAAGAACTACGCAATCCACGAATTTCTATAACTATATATTTTGTTCGTCTAGAATGGAGTGCAGAGTACCGCTTTATCAACACCAGCCACGAGACTTTGCGGGATCTTGTCTAGATTCAAGGAAAATTACCTGTTGAATATTTCTCGACTGCGAGTTCAATCGTTACGAGCATTCTTCTACAAGAAACGCTTTACGCGAAAACGACTCATCGTTTTTGAATATTCTCAACAGCGAACAGTAACGAGTTAAACGATCGATCGATCCCTCTATCGACGAACGAGATGATGATATCGATCGAATCGAGGTGGAAAAGAACGATATTCACGGTGATCCACGATCTTAACCTTTGTTTAACCATTTTGTCTCGCAACCTTTTTCGAATAATGCCGAAACTGAACAAGCTTCTGGTCACGTCAATCATCGCGGATATCAGGGAGTGTGTACATGTCTCGAACGAGATATATTCCTGGCTAGGCGATATCGAACATCTGTCATGGAAATTCCCGACGAAAACCGCGAAGGACATAAATGCTATGGAAATTGTGAAGGAGCACAACGGAACCGCGGGGGAATTCTATATTCTTCTTCTGGAGTTGGCTTATGACAGGTTGTTTAACACGTTTTTTGCCCCCCTTCCCTCGTTTTATATTCTCTTTTCGTTCGTTCGGTATCGTTTCGCATCTGCATAAATTCGAAAACCACGACATTCGAACGACTCGAGTCGCACACAGAGAGGGGGAAAAAAATGGTTTCTTTTGTCGAAAGATCGTGGAAGAGTTTCGTCCACGTAGACTCGCGCGACTCAATTAGGCATGCAAATGTTTCGTGACCGTTGTTGCATCGTCAAAGGGAACGAAATACTTTTCGGACGGACGAAATGCAAACGTTGGCTCGATGCACTTGGTCGCTTCGCCAGAATATTTCCAGTTGAACGATCCATTGCCCGCGTTTTATCGTCGGGGAATGGACCCCGGGCAAAGATGATTCACGTATTCTTTTGTGGAGAAAATCGTTCGGTTATATCATTCAATTTGTACGTCTCATTGGATAATTGGCAGTCGCGGGAGATTAAAGGATGGCTAATGAGTCGCGTCGATTCTTCGATACGTACGGTTGAATCGCAGCATGATCAATCAATCGATTAAATAGTCTTTTGAGTTGAAAATTTTTACCTGTTTATTGCTAAAATTATCTTGATCTCGAGAGGGAGATTCTTTTTATTCGTTGCAGAATTCATTTCGTTCTACGGTTGATCGTGGAATTCATGGACAAGTTCCACTTGGCGGATGAGTTTTTCAAAGAAGCGAGCTGCGTCAGTCGATCGAAACAAATTTCGTTAGCCAGCTTATTGCGACTTGTTTGGGATCGGATGAAAACAATGCCTGATTCGATATCGCGTCATATGGTTAGTCAAATAAATAAAGTTGATTCTTCGTAGAAAACAGGGGAAATTCGATCGAGCAAATAAAAGTCCTATTTTTAACTCTTTGCCCGTGATACGAACGAAGCAGCTCGATCGAAAAAGAAACGAAAAGAAATATTTTTAGATACAAAGTTCTAAATACGAACGATTAATATATTCCTTTTCCTATAAAAAAAAAAAAAGAGAGAAAGAAAACTACAAATATTTTTATCCAAACTGATAAAAAAAATCCTTACTCAAAAAGTAGAGAAAATCGCGCCATTGAAATCCCTTTTTGATTTATCCCGATATCTCGATCGATCGCCAAGATATGACTCAAAGTTTCCACGGCTCTTAAACCGAGGCAGCAGTTACGAATGGATCCCCGTTGGCCTACATTTTTTTCTTCGAAGCGCGTTTCCAAGAATCGCGTCTGCCGCTCGTCTGGAATTTAGGATAGGTCGGTGAGACGGGGCGCGAGCGAGAGGCCCGAGTAAGGCGCAAGGAGGGAGATAATAATCGATGAAAAATTACCTTTCTCTTTGCACGACGATATCTCGGCAACCGAAAGTCGTATCGAGATAAATCAAAATGCGTTTCGAAGGGGAAGGTCCACCGCCTCTGACAATCCTTTATTCGTCGCTCGAAAATTATTACTCCCGGAGTTACGGCGATTCAAACTTTTCCCGATTTTAATTGGGATTGGACCGAGTCTTGAGGTAAACTTAAAGCGCGGTAGATGCGTTTCTTTGCGATGGACGCAAAGAGGAAGGGAAGGGAAAGAAGGCGACGATTACGGAGAGAGTGAATAAAGTGAAAAGGATCGTTAAGATTTGTTTATTATGCTTTTTCCGTACTATTCGATCGGAGGAAGTTCCCTCCGAAAAATAGCAGCAGCACGTCAACAGGTGAAGAATAGCACGAAGCACGAGGAAGGAGGCTCCTTGAGAATCAGTAAAGTATCGCAGAGCTGTCAGGCGGGCAGCTGCATGGATTATTGCGAGAGTTGCACGCTAGCCGGGGAAGCTATACTTCACGCGATAAATTCGATCGAGCAAGTCTTCGTCGAGAATAAATTAATTTCCGTCTCCACGACTCAAAGGTGAGCGAAATTTATTGAAATTGTTGAAAAAAATTTGTAAACAGCCTCGTAAACCATTTATATTATTTTACCTCGCGTATCGCGTTTCCTTTCCTTCCAGTTGAATAAATCTTTGTCCAAGAAGAACAAAAATATGCGTTTCCTGTGCTCCCACAATTAAAATATATAATTTTAACAAAAACCTGCACGTATTTTACTCCGGACAAGAAAAATTTAAAACCGTCATTTTGAGCTAACTTTTAATAGCATCTATTTTCATATTTACTTGAAGAAAGATATAGAAAAAAGAGAGAGAGAGGGGAGAGGAAAACACACGGTATTCGAGCTTTAAAACGAAGAACACCAAGAAATTTCCTCTCCGGATAGCGATAAATAATCTACTTACAACGTCTCCCGGAGTGGTACTAAGCTTGGCCTCGGCAAAAACGGGAGCAAAAGCATTTCGCGTTCTAAACTAATAAAACAAAGACTTGGAGTAAACATACGAGACGGTGTGCTCGCTCGATTGTTCCAGAGACGAATGCAGGAACGACATTTACGAGAAGACTCAATGGGCCGTGATGAGCAGGCTGACGAAGGGAATAGGGACAGACGTCGAAACGGCGCTCAGGATTGCCAGGGAGAGCAATTTGAGAATCCAGGCGGCCAGACAAGATCACGAGCACAAGATTCGAGATCTGCGAGCCAGTTTGACGATGCGAGAAAAACGAACGGAAGAGTTGCAGGCGGATAACTCGGGGCTGAAAGATCTACTGGAAAATGGCAGGTTTTGTTGATTAGGTACTCGTTGCGCAACGCAGATTCTCAGATTTACGCTCGATGTTAACGACTTTTTCGAATGTTTACGAGTTAAGGAAATTAGCAGGGGTATCGAAAGAGAATTGGTTCTTAAAAAAGGCTTGTACTTTTAATAATAATTTTCTCATCAATTCCAAGTTAAATTTTTCTCCATTCTTCCGTTTCTTATCTTTTTCTCTTTTCTTTCCTCCTCTTCGACAAGTTTCGCTCCATCGATCCATCGATTTAATTCGAAATAACTGTAAAAATTGACGTAATGGTTGATGTTTTTGGAATATTTACGAGTCAATGAAATTAATAATGAATATCGAACGAGAATTCTTTCATAAAGAATGGCCAAGCTTGCTTATACTTTCAATAGTATTTTTCTCACCAATTCCAAGTTAAGTTTTTCTCCATTCTTCCGTTTCTTATCTTTTTTTTTTCTTGCCTCTTCTTCGACAAGTTTCAAATTTTCGCTCCATCGATCCATCGATTTAATTTCAAATAGCTGTGAAAGTTGATGCAATGGTTGGAATTTTTGGAATGTTTACGAGTTAATGAAATTAATAATGGATATCGAACGAGAATTGGTTCTTTCATAAAGAATAATGGCCAAGCTTATACTTTTTTTAGTAATTTTCTCACTAATTCTAAGTTTTCCGAGCAAAAGTTTTTCCATTCTTCCGTTTCTTATCGCGCCATTCGATGTGATTTCGAATCGTGGAATTACAGTAAAATTTGTGGGAATCGCTTCATCGATCCATCGATTTAATTCCAAATAACTGTGAGAATTCGAAAATCGATGGGCTGCAATCGATTCGATCGAGAAATCTTTCATCCAACCAGAATACTATTTATGAATGTTCTGCGAATAGCAATAGATGAATGGATCGAGATAGCCACGCGTGTTTACTAAGATGCGTGATAAATTTACCTGGACGATCGTCTTTTTTTCATTCCTTACAAACCTCTATTATTATCGTAGGAAGCGAGTAATAAACACGCGTGCTAGCCTCTCTTTTTGTACTTCTTTGGTATCAGAAATAAAAGGACGCTATTCATTAGCATGTAAAGAGATTTTAATTTTAATTTCAAACTCACACACACTATCTCTTTCGATACATTTTTTAAATCAAACGAGATCGCAAAAAATTTCCACGAACACAACGAGCGCACAAGTTTCATCATTCTACCTCTCTCATCGAACGTCGTGCACAACCGATTCGACCGTGTCCAATTAAAAAAATAATAATAATAAGATGTGAGAACAGGAGGGCGTCCCTTTTTATCGAGGCGTTGATTTTCACAGCTCGAGAAGAGCTCGAAGAGGAGAGACGAGGGAACGACGTGTTGAAGCGACAAAACGAGACGTTGAAAGAAACCCTAGGAGATATTCGTAGACAGATGTCGATGCTCGGTAAGTATATATAAGAAAAAAAGGAGAGAGAAAGAAAGAAAGAAAGAAAGAAAGAAAAAGCGGGAGAGAAAGTGTGCGCGTTGTGCACTCCAGAGACAGAAAGAGAGAGAGAGAGGGGATTTTCCAACGAAATTTGACAAGCGAGCGCGGCGAAGGAAGGGAGAGAGGGATACAGTCGGGAATAGTCTTATTTTCGAACAACGTTCATTGCAGCTGGCGAAAATAAGATTTTGCAAAGTCAGGCGGTTGCGCTGGCCGAGAGCAAATTCGAGTTGGAGAAGAGCGTGTTCGGACTTGGAAAGGAAATCGACGACATCCGTGATGCGTGTCTCGAGAGTGAACGAAACACGCGAACGCTTCTCGACGAATCGAGGAAGGAGAACGACCGCGTAAGTGCGATTACGTTTCGATTACGATATTTTCTTTACGTTTCATCTGGGGGCGCGATCGAATCGAAAAGTAATGGGGCGATAATGCGGCGGGATACATCGTTGAAAAAGATGAAAGAGGAGGAAAGGAAAAAATTCGAGATATCGTTAGTTGGCGAGATGGTTTCTTTGCTCCCGTCGTACGAAATTATTGACTTTATATACGAAATTCCTTTTCGGGCAAAAATTCTCAAAGTCGGATTAGGATTTTGCATTTTACGCGAAATTCGTACATTTTGATAAAAGCACGTGGGATGTAGAGAGAAATATAATAAAGGTAAACTTTGATGGGTGAAATTTAATAGTTGAAGTTAAGATAATTTATCGTTAAAAACGTAATAATAATAATTGCGAATAATCGGACGAATGTCGAACGATCGAGGTTATACGAGTAATACGTTATTCGAGCAATTTAAGTAAGTAAATTAAGATAAGTAAATTACTCCAAGTAACTTTAATCGAAATTTTTAATTACCTTTCCAACTCGGTTGACGTCCAACTCTGCTTCGTGTTCCGAAATATGTATATATTCGGTTATAAATTATTTATCGGTTCCCACGATAAAATTCCACTATTTAATGATTACGAAAATTATGTTATCGTAATTGCGTGGAAAAAGAAGATCACCTCGAGGAAAACTCGATAGTATTTCGATTCTATCGGAATACTTAATACGGGCCAAGATTGATCCGTTTCGGCTATTCGTACCAGCTGCTTGATTATTAATTAACAGCGTTATCTGGCTCACTATGCACGATGCGTTAATGATACAGCAGACGATAGAAATTGCTCGCTGTTTAAGCCGCTGTCAGCTCGCTATACACCGTGAACAAGTCTGCATAGACGACCAAACTCCCGTGAATTAATTTGCTGCTCGCTTAAATCAACTTATACTAGTTGGGTAGAATTTACGACCACGGTTAATTGCCAATTTCGTCCTATCACGTCTCATTGAAAATATATATCTTTCAAATAATTTCCTAATGATTTCGTTCGAAAACTATATACGAATACTATGCACGAGAAATAATGCAATTTCTCCTCGTGTCTAATTCTTCTTGAATTGTAATTTGAAATCTTGAAAAAAATGAAAAAAGAAAAAAGGAACTTTAAAATCTTGTAAATATTATAATTCCCTTGATGACTTATTCGCGCTCGACTCGTTAAAATAAAATAATAAAATGAAATTACTTGATTAAAATAGCAAGTTTTATAAATAAAGTGATAAACTTGGTCGTAAATCTATCCTATAAAATACAAACTTTTACTCGTTAAATATTTCTCCTTTTTTTTTTTCCTTCTTTTTTAGTTAAAGGAAGAATACGAGGAAAAAGTGGAGAAACTTCGGCAAGAGGTCGCACTTTTGTCGGAGAAGAAACGGGACGAAAAGATCCAGGACACAAGCGGGGATTCGATCGTTGGAACGATCGAGGATGGGACCGTTTTAAAACCGGAGGATGATCCTGTTGCGGATATGACGCAGCAATTGATCTCGAATCGCGAGAAGATCGAGATGTTGACGCGGCAGAACGAGCGATTGACGAAAACCCTGTCTCGATTGCGGAAATATCGGTTAACCAGTCAATCGTAACCGAATCAAATCATACCATTGCGTCACTTTTTGCGCGAGTTT